CAAATGAATGGTTTCGCACACGTACGGGATCGCAGAGACCTCCGTGAGACCGTCGAACGCCCACCTGAGCCTCTCCTCGTCCCAGTAAGCACATCTGGCGCCGTCCGGCTTCTCGGCTGCCAGCGTGATGCGTATAGGATTGTCCCTCAAGTCCAGGCCCGACAACTCCGAAGCGCCGAAGTACAGATTGATGCTCACGGGGGCGACCAGCGCCACGACTCTGGTCGACGTCTGAGTAGGCTCTGCCTCAAAGGCCGATGCGGACTCATTGCCGAACGCGGTCACCACCAGCGATACCACGTCCCCCGGGGAACCCCCCGAAGCACCCTCCGACGCCAAGTTCCTCACCAGGGAAAGCGGGACGCTCACCGAGACTGCGCTCCTGGCCACCGCCACGACGGCGGAGGTGGTGTTCGAGGTGGTGTTCGAGGTGGTGTTTGCATCTTCTGTACCTCCGCTCAGCGCCGCTGCCACCACCGTGCCCACCTCGACCTCCACCTGCGCCTGGGTGATGACGCCGCCGCTGGTCGAGGCAGGCTCCTCGCCAGACTGCGGCTGGCCAAGGGCCACGTTGGCGAGCACCGACATCAGGAGCGAAGTCTCGGCCTCCTTGGCCGCCTCGTCTATCTCAGTGGCCGTCGCGCCCGGAGCCAGCAGGGTCGTTCCCTGGGTTTTGGTTGTCATGGTCAGGGTTACGGAGGTCGTCGAGGTGGTCGTCGAGGTGGTCGTCGATGTGGTCGTCGATGTGGTCGTGCTGGTGGTGGTGGTGGTTGTCTCCGTTACAGTGGTGGCGGTCGAGACGGTCGTTAGTGTGGCCATGGAGGGCGTGGCGCCTCCAGTTACATCCGACGGGATGTTGCTGGCCATGCCCGACACGCTGGAGAGCTCGGTACCGATGGTGGCGAGGAAACTCGCCAGGTCGTCGCTGGAAGCCTCGGAGCTCAGCAGCGCTTCTGCTCTCTCGAGGACCTGCGGGAACAACAAGACGCACCGACGCCGCTGCTCGGCGGACCTCTCCCGGAGGGCACTCCGACCTGCAGTTCGGGGAGAATCCAGCCGTGGTGACGAGGACTCTCGAGGACGAGCAGCGACATCGATACATCTCCCCCTCGGAAGACCGAATCGGAGTGTCCGACCGGCACAGCGACTTCGTACAGATGGGTGACGACGCCGGCCAGCCGGCGGCCCGCCGTGGCGCGGCGCCCGCCGATCAGCTCGCACCATACCGTGACGGCCGCGGGCGCCACGGTACCGCCAAGGTAGCCCGCGACCGACCTCTGCAGCGCGGCTCGCACGTCTGGCACGTTGGAGCAGGCCAAGACGTACTCCGATGGATAGGGCACGGTCACGGCGAAGTCGCCCCCGATCACGATGGACTTGCCCGTGTCCGTGGTGGTGAAGGTAGTCTCCGTAAACGTGGTCTTCGTGGTTGTCAGAGTGGTCGACGTGCTCGAGGTGGAGGTCGTGGAGGTCGTCGAAGTGACGCTGGTAGTGCTGCTGGTGCTGGTCGTGGTCGTAAGCGTGCAAGTACAAGTGCCAGTGGAAGTGGAAGTGGTGCTACTGGTGGTCGTGGAGGATCTTGTTGTGCTCGATGTGGTCGTCGTAGAGGTGGTGGTGGTGCTGATGCTGGTCGTAGTGTAGGAAACCGTTGTGCTCGTGGTAGCCGTCGTGGAGAATGTGGTGGTGGTGTTGCTGGTGGTGAACGTGGTACTGGTGATCGTGGATGAGCTGGTGCCCGTCGTGCTCGTGAGTGTGGTGCTTGAGGTGATCGTGACGCTCGTGCTGGACACAGTCGTGCTGCTGGTGGCGCTTGTGCTGCTGAGGGTGGTACTGCTGCTTCTAGTCGTGCTGGACACAGTGGTGCTGCTGGTTATGCTGGTGCTGCTGAGAGTGGTACTGCTGGTGCCCGTCGTGCTGGAAACAGTGGTGCTGCTAGTAGCGCTTGTGCTGCTGAGAGTGGTACTGCTGGTGCCCGTCGTGCTGGAAACCGTTGTGCTGCTGGTTACGCTGGTGCTGCTGAGAGTGCTACTGCTGCTTCCAGTCGTACTGGAAACCGTGGTACTGCTGGTTGGGCTTGTGCTGCTGCGTGTGGTGGTGCTTGTTCCCGTCGTGCTGGAGACCGTGGTTGTACTCGTTGCACTTGTGCTACTGCGAGTAATGCTGCTAAGGCTGCTGGTTGTAATAGTGCTGCTGGTCCCCGTCGCGCTGGTCAGCGTAACGGTGCTGGTTCCCGTCGCGCTGGAAGCAGTGGTGCTGCTGGTTGCGCTAGTGCTAGTAAGAGTGATGCTGGTCTTGCTGTTACTGCTCCAAGTCGTACTCGTCAGGGTAAAAGTGCTGGTGGCGCTATTGCTAGTGAGAGTGGTACTACTGCTTCTTGTCGTGCTGGTCAGGGTGGTGCTGCTGGTCGCGCTGGTGCTGCTGGCAGTGGTGCTACTGCTTCTTGTCGTGCTGGACACAGTGGTGCTCGTCAGAGTACTGCTGCTGGTAGGGCTGTTACTAGTGAGAGTACTGCTACTGCTTCTTGTCGTGCTAGTTTGGCTAGTCGTGATAGTTGCGCTGGTGCTGCTGGCAGTGGTGGTGCTGCTGCCCGTCGTGCTGGACACAGTGGTGCTGCTAGTAGCGCTTGTGATGCTGAGAGTGGTACTGCTGGTGCCCGTCGTGCTGGTCAACGTTGAACTGCTGCTTGCGCTGGTGCTGCTCAGAGTGGTACTGCTGGTTCTTGTCGTGCTGGTCAACGAGGAGCTGGAAACGGTCGTGCTACTGGTCGCGCTTGTGCTGCTGCGTGTGGTGCTGCTGCTCTGCGTTGTACGGGAAACAGTGGTGCTGCTGGTTCCGGTGGTGCTACTAGGAGTGGTACTGCTTGTTCCCGTCGTGTTCGAAACGGTTGTGCTACTGGTTGCGCTGGTGCTGCTGACAGTGGTACTGCTGCTGCCCGTCGTGCTCGACGCAGTTGTGCTGCTGGTTGCGCTGGTGCTGCTAGCAGTGTTACTGCTGCTGCCCGTCGTGCTGGTCACAGTGGTGCTGCTAGATGCGCTGGTGCTGCTGACAGTGGTACTGCTTGTGACTGTCGTGGTCGTCAATATGGTGCTGCTGGTTGCGCTGGTGCTGCTGGCAGTTGTGCTGCTGCTTCCAGTCGTGCTCGTCGAAGTGATGCTGCTGGTGGCGCTATTGCTAGTGACAGTGGTACTACTGCTTCCTGTCTTGCTGGTCAGGGTGGTGCTGCTTGTTGCGCTGGTGCTGCTGGCAGTGGTGCTACTGCTTCTTGTCGTGCTGGACACAGTGGCGCTGCTAGTTGCGCTTGCGCTACTGAGAGTGGTACTGCTGCTTCCCGTCGTGGTGGAGACGGTCGACCTACTGGTCGCGCTTGTGCTGCTGCGTGTGGTGCTGCTGCTCTGCGTTGTACTGGAAACAGTGGTGCTGCTGGTTTCCGAGACGCTAGTCACAGAGGTGCTGCTGGTCGCACTAGCGCTGCTGAGAGTGGTACTGCTGGTATCCGAGGTGCTCGTCAAAGAGATGCTGCTGGTTGAGCTGGTTCTGCTGACAGTGGTACTGCTGCTTCCCGTCGCGCTCGTCAAAGTAATGCTGCTCGTTGCGCTGGTGCTGCTTGCAGTTCTAGTTATGCTTCCAGTCGTGAGGGTCGCGCTGCTGGTCGCACTTGTACTGGCAAGCGTGGTGGTGCTGGTGCCCGTCGTGCTAGTCAGGGTTGTTCTGGAAGTGGTGCTACTGCTTGACGTCGCGCTCGTCAAAGTAATGCTGTTGGTTGCACTTGTGCTGGCAAGCGTGGTGCTGCTGCTCCACGTCGTGCTGGTCAGGGTGGCGCTGCTGGTCACGCTTGTAGTGGCAATCGTAGTGGTGCTGGTGAACGTCATGCTAGTCAAGGTGGTACTGCTGGTTGCGCTTGCACTGCTGAGAGTCGTAATGCTGCTTCCCGTCGTGCTGGTCAGGGAGGTGCTGATGGTGGTGCTGATGCTGGTAAGAGTGCTACTGCTGCTTCTGGTCGTGCCCGACAAAGTGGAACTGCTGGATACGCTGGTGCTGCTCCCACTGGAACTGCTGCTTGTCGTCGTGCCGGTCCGGGTAGTGCTTCTGGTGCCACTAGTGCCACTCAGAGTGGTCATGCTGCTTCCCGTCGTGCTGGACAAAGTGATGCTGCTGGAGGCGCTAGAGCTGGTGAGCGTCATAGTACTGGTTTCCGTCGTGCTGGTCAGGGTGGTGCTGCTGGTGGCACTGGTGCTGCTGAGACTGCTGGTGCTAGTTCCTGTTGTACTGGTCAGGGAGGTCGTGCTAGTTGCGCTAGTGCTGCTGAGAGAGGTGCTGCTGGTCCCCGTCGTGCTTGACAACGTAGTGCTGCTGGTTGCGCTGGTGCTGCTGAGAGTGGTCGTACTGGTTCCCGTCGTGCTCGACAGAGTAATGGTGCTGGTGGCGCTGGTGCTGCTGAGAGTGGTGCTACTGCTTCTTGTCGTGCTGGTCAGGCTGGTGCTGCTGGTTGCGCTGGTGCTGGTGAGAGTGGTGCTGCTGCTCTCCGTCGTGCTCGACAGGGTAGAAGTGCTGGTGGCGCTGGAGCTGCTGAGAGTGGTGCTACTGCTTCTTGTCGTGCTGGACAGGCTGGTGCTGCTGATTGAGCTAGTGCTGCTGAGAGTTGAGTAGCTGCTGGTTGCGCTGGTGCTGCTGAGAGTGGTAGTGCTGGAAACCGTCGTGCTGGTCAAAGTGGTGCTGCTGGTTGCGCTGGTGCTGCTGAGAGAGGTACTGCTACTGCCAGTCGTGCTGGACAAAGTGGTACTGCTGGTTGCGCTGGTGCTGCTGAGAGAGGTACTGCTACTGCCAGTCGTGCTGGACAAAGTGGTACTGCTGGTTGCGCTGGTGCTGCTGAGAGTGAAAGTGCTGCTCCCCGTCGTACTTGTCAAAGAGGTGCTGCTGCTGGTGCTGCTGGCAGTGGTACTGCTGAGGGTGGAGCTGCTGCTCTCCGTCGTGCTCGTCAAGGAGGTGCTGCTAGTAGCGCTTGTGCTGCTGAGAGTGGTACTGCTGGTGTCCGTCGTGCTGGTCAACGTTGAACTGCTGCTTGCGCTGGTGCTGCTCAGAGTGGTACTGCTGGTTCCTGTCGTGCTGGTCAACGAGGAGCTGCTGGTTGCGCTGGTGCTGCTGAGAGTGGTTGTACTGCTTCCCGTCGTGCTCGTCAAGGTAGTGCTGCTGGTGGCGCTGGTGCTGCTGAGCGTTGTGCTACTGCTCCTTGTCGTGCTGGTCAGGCTGGTGCTGCTGGTTGCGCTGGTGCTGCTGAGAGTGGTGCTGCTGCTCTCCGTCGTGCTCGACAGGGTAGAAGTGCTGGTTGCGCTAGTGCTGCTGAGAGTGGCAGTGCTGGTTCTCGTCGTGCTCGTCAATGAGGTGCTGCTGGTGGCGCTGGTGCTACTGAGAGTGGCAGTGCTGCTTCCAGTCGTGCTCGTCAGTGAGGAACTGCTGGTTGCGCTGGTGCTGCTGAGAGTTGAGGAGCTGCTGGTTGCGCTGGTGCTGCTGAGAGTGGTACTGCTGGTGCCCGTCGTGCTCGTCAAGGAGGTGCTGCTAGTTGCGCTGGTGCTGCTGAGGGTGGTAGTACTGCTTCCCGTCGAGCTCGTCAGAGTAATGCTGCTAGTCGCGCTGTTGCTAGTATAGGTAATACTGCTGCTTCCCGTAGTGCTGAACAGGGTCGTGCTGCTGGTTGCGCTGGTGCTGCTGCGACTGGTTCTGCTGGTCCCCGTCGTGCTGGAGACCGTTGTGCTGCTGGTTGCGCTAGTACTGCTGAGGGTGGTACTGCTGGACGTGGCACTGCTGCTCCACGTTGTACTGGAAGCGCTAGTGCTGCTGGTTGCGCTTACGCTACTGATAGAGGTTCTGCTGGTTCCCGTCGCGCTCGTGAAAGAGGTGGTGCTTGTTGCGCTAGTGCTGCTGCGCGTGGTACTGCTGGTTCCCGTCGTGCTCGTCAACGTTGAACTGCTGCTTGCGCTGGTGCTGCTCAGAGTGGTACTGCTGGTTCCTGTCGTGCTGGTCAACGAGGCGCTGCTGGTTGCGCTGGTGCTGCTGAGCGTTGTGCTGCTAATGCTGCTGGTTGCACTAGTGGTGCTGCTATCCGTCGTGCTCGACAGGGTAGAAGTGCTGGTTGCGCTAGTGCTACTGAGAGTGGCAGTGCTGGTTCTCGTCGTGCTCGTCAGAGTGGTGCTGCTAGTTCCAGTGGTGCTGCTGTCAGTGGTTGTGCTGGTTCCCGTCGCGCTGGAAACAGTGCTGCTGCTTGTTGCGCTTGTGCTGCTGCGCGTGGTACTGGTGCGGCTGCTTGTGGTCAACGTGGTGCTCGTGGTCATAGATATCCGCCACCGTGCCTTCAGCACGTAGGGGAGTACCCCCAAAACCTCGTACAGCTGTACAAACGTGTTGCAGGGGCAGTCGGAGTCTTTTCAAAGCCCAGACCACACATGTGCCAACATCTCTCGGCACCCTTGGGCGCTTCTGGCGTGTCTCGCGGAGGCCTCCAGCAAGCCAAAATCACTCAACTCGACCCAGCGTCACCACGGAGCCTTCCCAGAGAGGAGGAGGAGGAGGAGGAGGAGGAGGAGGAGGAGGAGGAGGAGGAGGAGGAGAGGAGGAGGAACAGATGAGGAGAGTGAGGAGGAACAGGAGGAGGAGGAGGAGGAGGAGGAGGAGCACCACGGAGCCCTCCCAGAGGGCACCAGAAAGGCTTGGGATGCCTAGGCTCCCGCAGGGGACTGCCCTGGGGCTCCATCCTGCGGGCACCGTGGGCTGCCTTGGCGGCCCCGGTGGCTGGCCGGAGACGTCGAAGTCATGGAAACTATGCGATCGCAGTGAGGAGGAGGAGGAGGAGGAGGAGGAGGAGGAGGAGGAGGAGGATGAGTAGGGGGGAGGAGGAGTAGGAGGGGAATGCTGAGGAGGAGGAGAGGAGGGAGGAGGAGGAGGAGGAGGAGGCGGACAGAGGAGGAACGAGGAGGAGGAGGAGGATGAGGAAGGAGGAGGAGGATGAGGATGGGAAGGAGGAGGAGGAACAGAGGAGGAGGAGGAGGAGGAGAGGAGGATGAGGAGGAGGAGGAGGAGGAGGAGAGTTTCCAACAAAATGATTCTAATTGGTTCGCGCGAGCGGGGGAAGGCGAGGAGCCAGGTGTAAGAGGAGCCAGGGCCTCTGGCAGTCCCCTGGTGCTTTTCTGCGGAATTTGCGAAATACGCAAAGCATAGCGGGCGCAATCTGACTCGGCCTCCCTGGAGGGACAGACGCGACACTGGTGGAGCTGCTGGAAAGGGAAGGGCGAGACCTCTGACACCAAACCAGGTGCCAGCATTTCGGGCGCGGTCTGACGCGGCCTCCGAGGAGGAACAAACAGGTCCCCGCATCGCGGGTGCGGTCTGGTATGACGTCGTTCCCCTGGCGGGGCAAACGCGGTACCGGTGGGGCTAGTGGCGTGTGAAAGCCACGGCCCCAGAGGTAAATAACCAGGCAACCAGGCACCCTGACAGCGGACGCGGTCTGACCCAGCACCCCACGGTGGGCAAACGCAGTGCTGGTGGAGTTGGCGGAGTGGGAGGGGCCCAAGGAGGCCCACTCCTCCTCCTGATCTTCCCCGCCATTCACCCCGAAGTGTTCCCAGAAGGGCTTCTACAACGGCTGGGGGAACACCTGGCCCGATACAGTCGAGGCGTTGACCTAAGTAACCCTAAATAAGGAACAAGGCCCCTCTTTTCCCTAAGTTGAACTTCGATTTCCCATGCAAAAACCTAAGGGAAACCCGAGGCAAACTGTAAAACCATCAAGGAACACCGAGCCCCTCCCCAACGAAAAGCGTTCCTTCTTCAAGGCCCCGACTGTAGCGTGGCAAAGCTCTTGCCACAACGCTCGGCCACAGGGGCGATTCCAAAGGGCGGGGGGCGGCGGTGCTTCGCCGTGGGCGTCTTCGATCCGCCGCCCCCTGTGGTCTTGCAACAGTTGTGCACTGCAAGCTAGACGCTCTACGGCTCGGCTTGCGTTCTTTTCCAAAAGAGCTCCGCCTGGGGCTTCGGCCGATCCCGCAGGCCACCCGGAAAACTGCCGAAAATGCCCGGGTGGTTGCCCAAATCGCCTCCAAGACGGCCAAGATGGCCCAAGATGGCCTGCAAGACAGCGAAGATGGCCCAGATGGTCCAAGAAGGCTTCCAAGACGGCCCGAGAGAGTCCAAGATGCCTCCAAGTCTGCCCAAGAAGCCTCCAAGACGGCCCAAGACGGCCCACGTGTCCCCTCAGAGGCCTCCAAGACGGCCCAAGAGGTCCCAAGAGGTCCTCCAGCAGGGCCCGAGGAGGCCAAAATCATTGAGTTTTCTCTGGTGTTTGAAGGATTTGGGCACTTGCTTCTTTTCGGCCTTTCGACGGCCCAGGACGGCCCAAGAGACCCCCAAGATCGTCCCAAGAGCGCTCAAGAGGCCTCCCAGATGGCCCCAGAACGGCCCAAGAAGCCCCCAAGATCGTCCCCTTGGGCCCAAGAGGCCTCCATGACGGCCAAGATGGGCTCCAAATCGGCCCTGAAGCACCCCAAGAGGGCCCCGAGACGGTCCAGAGAGGCCCCCAAGACGGCTCCCGACAGCGTCAGACGGCCTAGGAACGCCCCAAGACGGCCAAAGAGTTCCCGAACAAGCCCCCAAAGGCCTCCAAGAGGCAAAAGGACACCCCCAAGAGGCCTCCAAGAGACTCCCAGGAAGCTCCCGGGAGACCCCCCAGAGTGCCACAAGAGACTCCCAAGAGGTCTACTCCTCCGATCATTTCACCTCTTCCTTTTCCTCCTCTTCCTTCTCCTCCTCCTCCTCCTCCTTCGCCTCCTCCTCCTCCTCCTCCTCCTCCTCCGCGTGCCGATGGTGTGCACGGCCCCAGAGTTGAGTATTCAGGGAAGGACGCACGGGGCGGCCTGTAAGGAGGCACTTCGTCTCCGATGAGCACCTCCCTGAGCTCGCGGGGACTCCGCCACAAGGGCGACACAGGCCAATGAGGGGTTTTCGGGTGTGGCCTACCCTGTTCGGGCGCCCCCACCCCATGGGGATCAGGAGGGGTCGTGCGGGCTGTTGCCCTTGGCCCGAAGGGACCCCCTTTCGCGGAACTCCGCCCCGTGCGCGGGCTTACGTTGGGCCCTCGTCGGCGGCAAGGGACGGCAGTCTTGCTTACTCGGGAGCGGCCAAGAGGGGGGTGTCCAAGAGGGGGGTGCAAATCGTGACCGGCGGCATGTGCGCGGCCCAGCGGGAGGACCAGGGACGTAATGACATGAGAAGAGGCGCCATGAAATCTGGGGAAATGTCATGGCCCCCGCCATGATGCCCACCCCCCTAGTCTTATGTCGGGCGTGTCCCCCTACAGGGAGATTTTCGACAAAACATAAAACAAATACCCCAACAACACCCCCAAAAGGTTTAAAAATACTAAAAAAATAGTCCCCTGACTATGCTTTCACTATTTTTTGATTATTTTCGGGGTATCTCTTAATTTTCTTCGAAAATCCCAATGTAGGGGGACACGCCCGACATAACCCTAGCTCTCTTTGCCGCCCCCGATTTACACTCGTTTCGTCGGAGGCTCTCACCTCCTCCGGACACAGCCCGGCGGCCATGCCGGCGGTCTTGCACGCCTGCCCCACCTGCGAGGCACGCGTGCCCTGGGCACAGACTGGCGGCTGCGCCAGCGGTTTCGCTTCCATGCCATTCGTTGGAGGCTCTGCCCTCAGGGACACAGCCTGGCGGCAGTGCCCGCGGTCCTGGACACCTACCTTAGGTCGGGCATGTCCCCCTACAGGGGGATTTTGGACGAAAAATTAAACATAGTCAAAAAATATTCCGAATTGGTCAAAAAATGCTCCAAAATATAGTCCGCGGACTATTTTTTGACTGTTTTTGGACACTCCGCCTGTAGAGGGACATGCCCGACTTAACACCTACCCCACCTACGGGGCAACTGCTTTCTGGACACACCTTGGCAGCAATGCCAGCGGTCTTGTTTGCCTTCGACACGTCGGAGGTTGTCCTCCGTCGGACACAGCCCGGCGACAATGCGGCGGTCCTGCACACCCACCCCACCCATGAGGCAGGCGCCTCGTGGACGCAGCTTGGCGGAAATGCCAGAGGAATTGTGTGTGCTTGGACACGTCGGAGGTACGGCCCTCCGGGACACAGCCTGGCGGCAATGCCGGCGGTCCTGCACACTTACAACACCTACGGGGCAAGCGCTTTCTGGACACACCTTGGCGGCAATGCCAGCGGTCTTGTTTACTTTCGACACGTCGGAGGTTCTGCCATCCGTCGGACACATGCCGACGGCAATGCCGGCGGTGCTGCACACCTTTCCCACCCACGAGGCGTGGGTCTCTTGGACAGTCTGCTGTTTTCATTCGCTTAGGCGGAGGCTTCAGCCTCCGGGACATCGCTCGGCGGCAATGCCGGCGGCACTGCACGCTTACCCCACCTACGAGACCAGCACCTGAGGGACACAGACTGGCGTTAGTGTTAAGTCGGGCCTGTCCCCGTACAGGGCGATTTTCGACGAAAAATGAAAAATACCCGAAACATAACAAAATTATCCCGGCAAAGCAACCTAACAGCCATGTGTAGGACCTGGCCGGGGCAGCCGGCCGCCCTCCCCTCCTGCTCGTCCTCCTCCTCCTCCTCCTGCTCGTCCTCGTGCTCCTCCTGCTCGTCCTCTTTCTCCTGCTCCTCCTCCTCCTCCTCCTCCTCATTTTTCTCCTGCTCCTCCTCCTCCTCCTCCTCCTCCTCCTCATCCTCCTCCTCCTCCTCCTCCTCTTCCTCCTGCTCGTCCTCGTTCTCGTCCTCCTCGTCTTGCTCGTCCTCCTCCTCCTGGTGCTCTCTCCTCCTCCTCCTCCTCCTCCTCCTCCTCCTCCTCCTCCTCCTCCTCCTCCTGGTGGTCCTCGTTCTCCTCCTCCTGGTGCTCTCAGACCCCCCCTCCTCCTCCTCAGTCCTCCTCCTCCTCCCTCACTCGTCCTCCACCTCATCTTCCTCCTCCTCCCCTCCTCCTCCTCCTCCTCCTCATCATCCATTCTCCTCCTCCTCGTTGGTAGTCCCCAAACCTCCCCTCTTCCTTCTCCTCCTCCTCTTCCTGGTCGCCCTCGTTCTCGTCCCCACCCGTCTTGCCCGACCTCCTCCCCTGGTGTTCTCTCCTCCTCCTCCTCCTCCTCCTCCTCCTCCTCCCCACCTCCTCTCCTCCTCCTCCTCCTCCTGGTGGTCCTTCTTCTCCTCCTCCTGGCGGCTCTCCCCCCCCCCTCCTTCCTCCTCATCCTCTCCTCCTCCTGGTGCTCTCCCCCCCCCTCCTCCTCCTCCTCCTCGTCCTCCT